CTAAATAAAAATGGGACATCAAGGACTTGGCTGTGTAATTACTTTTCCTTTCTCTGTTTGGAAATACTGAAAGAAATCTCATCCACATAGTTTGCGATCATGTCGCTCCATTAAATCTTCGTTTGGATTGTTAAGGTTAATATTCATGCTTTAGAGCAAGCAGAGTTCTAGGGCGAAATCTCGGCCCATCCGATGGAGAAATTTCAAGTCCAAGTGATGAAAAGAATGAAAACGAAACCTGTGAACCGCCGTTCATTACCAAACGGTGCCAAACTTGGAATATTTAGAAACAACATTTGATAAGTGGCTTTGTCTTATACAAGAGATTTTATTTTCATTAAACCAAATTTTGCATTTTTCATGAGTTATATTTAGGAAGAAGATACAAATAATAGCTCAGAGGCTGCGGCTCGATGGTCTAGAGGTATGATTCTCGCTTCGGGTGCGAGAGGTCCCGGGTTCGACTCCCGGTCGAGCCCAAATGGATTAATCGTTTTGATGGAACCTATTTTCAGTACCACTTGAAAGCTCGAATGGCGTGGTGGTGTTACTTTCCTTCTACTAAAATTTAAGTATGCCACGTAAGTAGGAAATAGTTTTGAATCCCATAGCGAGCGAAAGAAACGTGGCTCGATGGTCTAGGGGTATGATTCTCGCTTTGGGTGCGAGAGGTCCCGGTTTCAAATCCCGGTCGAGCCCGATGTTTCTCGCCTATTTTAGCTTTATATATATAAATTTTGTCAGGTATAATATTTTCAAAATATATGAAAGACCACAGTCAGAGAAACGTTTCTCGGGTAAGAAAGTTTTACGAATATAATAGTTTTAACTAAACGTACACACATAGTTACGGTGTTTGCCGCAGAAAAGACTTGCTGTAGCAAAAGCTAAATTTTCGAAGTGGAGTAGAGTACAAATTAGCTAGAGGGGCGACTAGAAGAATATTCTGGCATTGCGTGCGATAGAGCCTTTTCTGGTCGGTCCCAAATCCTCTCCTCTTTTCCTGATTCCTGATTTGGAATAGATATGGGAAACAATATTCCTACGGTAATAGGACACTCGATCGAATTTTCTCAACCGATGACATTTTTAAACATATTTCAAGATTTTGATCATTACATTGGCTCTGGGCTGTCAGCCGAAAAAAATGTCGTTTTTTGTTGCATGCGCTAATTGTTGGAAGTGGAGGAAAGCTTGACTCGGCTCGGTGGTCTAGGGGTATGATTCTCGCTTAGGGTGCGAGAGGTCCCGGGTTCAAATCCCGGCCGAGCCCAAAGCGGCGAAACAGTTTCATTTTAAATTCCAAATGATTATGAGGAAGCGGAAAGACAAACGGTCGTTCAATAAGACACTTGTAATCTTCCATTGGAATATTGAAGAAAGCTGTTAGATTTATATAATGTTTATTATGCCCCGAGACTCCCTTTCACTTTCGAAGGCTCATTTTCGGCGAGATTAAAAGAATAAAATCATCTAAGAATGAAAGAGTGGATTTTTCAAGATTCCTGATGCCCATTGCAAGTGTTAATCTCTCCCGGCGTCACCCAAATGGTTTTGCTGTTTGATCGAAAATATTTTCAGTAATTATTTATCACTAAATAAAAATGGGACATCAAGGACTTGGCTGTGTAACTACTTTTCCTTCTCTGAAATACTGGAAAGAAATCTCATCCGCTTATAGTTTGCGATCATGTCGCTCCGTTAAGGTATCCGTACACCTTCGAAGAAAATTTTTTGAAATACATTGATATTTGTTATAAAAATACTTTTTTATGCTAAAATATAACCTAAAACTATGAAAAACACATTTAATAATTTGCTTTTAAATCAAAAAAAAAATTTGGAGTGAAAAACATAGTGAAAATAGTACATAAATTTATTATTAGAATAACGCTCATAACTCAAAAGTAAACAAAAATATCATTATTCTGTAACTTTTATCTTATTCATCATAACATTTTTTGGGGCTGGTACTACATTCATGATGAAAATCTTATTACAATAATTTTTATTGTGTTTCGAGTCAAATAACAATGAAAAATCATAAAAAAGTTACAACAATACATGATTTACACCTTTGTTACTAAAAATATATCAATTTTATAATCATGAAAGTGGTAGGGGTCCTTAAAAATTGTATAAGGAAGACACTTGCAAAATTTCAATTAATTTGGTTCATAACTTTTTCTGATATCTACGTTGCCATATGTAAATATGTCAAGAAAACTCATTTTGAGAAAAATCAAAAACAAACTTTCAATTGCAATTTTTAATAATAAACATAATAAAATATATTTAAAATGCCCCTGATTTATATATAACACCTTCTTTGCTTTCTAATACATTAATTTTTTTTTCCTAAGAGCTCTGAGTATTTTTCGACGCTGCTTTACATTTGGTGTTGAATGACGTGCAGCATCAAAAATTCGACAACTGTCAACATGTTTGTAAGATTTTAAGGTAAAATAACCAGGCGTTACATTTAATTTCCTTAAAATTTCAACACAGCCCTTGTACCCATCATTAAACTGTATAACAGCATCCAATGCACCAGATTTTAAAATTTTAAGGCACACGAAAACCTCTTTCGGTACCCTCTGCCAAATTATGGCATTAAAACATTCATTGGCATTCTGTGTCTTACCATGAAGGCACTTTGACAGAAGTTCTTTAGAACACAGTTCTAAATATGTAGGTTTAATTAAATTTAATACATCATTGGATAAGCCATTATATTTTTCTTTGGGCTTTTTGCCGCATGACAGTGCTCGCTGATAATAACACCAGCTATCTTTCCCGATAGGGCACTGTCCATGCATGGGTTTCTTGCCACTCGATGCACAGTGGTACAAGGCCGCAATGACGTTCTGTTGAAGTTTGAGTAGATTGCCTACATTACTTCGAACAGCAATTCCATAGTAATTTTGCAATCTGTCAATAAACGAATCGGTAAGTTTACCTTTACCAGATAAACTTTTATTTTTGGATTTCAGTTTGCGCAATCTCGCACCTACTCTTTTCTGAACATGCCCAATGCATTCCAGTTTAGTTACGCTATCTTTCCCATATGTGTCTTTCACGCTGATGAAGCCTTTAGAATCCCCGTCTCCATAATAGTGTGAATACTTCAAACCTCGTTTCACAATTGATCGTTTGAAGATCCTGTTTGCGCCAACAGCTTCCATCTTTAATGAGGAACCTTTAAAATTGCTTCGACACACATGATCTGCTTCAAGCGTCTCGGATACAATATCTTTAGGCATTTTCGAAAGCTTTCTGCAGGTCGGACAATATGATGACATTATTTCAATGTCCACTACTTTGCCAGTGTCGATTGACAAAGCAGCAACACACCCATTCATAGAAGTGTAACCTCTACGCTGCCATGTTCCATCGACAGAAACACCGCATTCAGCTAATTTATTTTTAGATGAATGAATATTCAAAACTTCCTTAGCTGCCTTTTGCATCGACAGTTCACTTACTTCTGAAATCACAGACATAAGTTTATTCTCATGATTGGTGTATGCAGTTTTACTGAGCCTGGGTAAATTTAATGTTGCACATAATTTATATGCAGCAGAAAAACCTTTCCCAATTTGTCTCATGGCATAAACAAATCTTGCATTTATCTCAGGATAGTTTAATGTTTTCTTCGAGCTGGAAAATCCTGTGCAAAAGTCACAATGCTTACATTTTATTGCAAAACTTGAGCACAATCCATACCTCGAGTCTTCATGTAACAGCAAACCATCGTGGAAGCATTTGGGGCAACAAAGTTGTAAAATTGAGCATAGAAGGAGTTCTATGTCAATAATTATGTTGCCGGTTAGCGGTTTATTTTCATATTCAGCAATTTCTTCATCTAGAATGGCAGAAAGGTTCAATTTTGAAGCACTGGCATTAGCAGTTACAGTACTATTTTTGCTATCATTTTTGGTAAAACCATTACCACGAAATTGTCTTTTTCTTTTAACACTAATTCTCCTTTTTGAATTTCCCATTTTAAACGAAAAAAATTGAGCTTTTCAACAATAAAAACAATCTTAATCAGAAACTTATAAGAATGAGAACAGAAACCAAAACAGATGTAAACAAACAATAACGATTCTCTTTTCTTGCCAGATTCAAGATAAAAATGTATTTAAAAACCTGTTGCCAAATGTATTTTCAAACATTCTGAAAATTCAGATTCATGTTTTAAAATTTATTTATTTTGTACCATTGTACATATAAAAGATATTTCGAAAAATAAAAATGTAAACAAACATTTCTTCCAACTTCCTGTCTGCAGAAATGCACTTCCGGTTTCAAAAATCAGCTAACGAGTAAAATTCAAATCCCTGTAACTTAAGTTCTAAATAAGGTATAAGCAAAATTCAAACACTATTAGAAAGAAAAAAGTTTAAAATTTAAACTGATGTTAAAATTAGAAAATCGAAAATTTTGACAAAAATGACGTTTTAAAGGTGTACGGATACCTTAAATCTTTCGTTTGGATTGTTAAGGCCATTATTCATGTTTAGAGCGCAAGAGTTCCTAGGGCGAAATCTCGGCCCATCCGATGGAGAAATTTCAAGTCCAAGTGATGAAAAGAATGAAAACGAAACCTGTGAACCGCCGTTCATTACCAAAACGGGTGCCAAAACTCGGAATATTTAGAAAACAATATTTGATATGGCTTGTCTTGTACAAGAGATTTTATTTTCATTAAACCAAATTTTGCATTTTTCATGAGTTATATTTAGGAAGAAGATACAAATAATAGCTCAGAGGCTGCGGCTCGATGGTCTAGAGGTATGATTCTCGCTTCGGGTGCGAGAGGTCCCGGGTTCGACTCCCGGTCGAGCCCAAATGGATTAATCGTTTTGATGGAACCTATTTTCAGTACCACTTGAAAGCTCGAATGGCGTGGTGGTGTTACTTTCCTTCTACTAAAATTTAAGTATGCCACGTAAGTAGGAAATAGTTTTGAATCCCATAGCGAGCGAAAGAAACGTGGCTCGATGGTCTAGGGGTATGATTCTCGCTTTGGGTGCGAGAGGTCCCGGTTTCAAATCCCGGTCGAGCCCGATGTTTCTCGCCTATTTTAGCTTTATATATATAAATTTTGTCAGGTATAATATTTTCAAAATATATGAAAGACCAC